GACACCAAAAGTTGTCTGCTCCCACTTGCTAGCGATCCGTAGGGTCACTCAGGCTACAAATTATCTGCCCTACTTTCCTGCTAGCTAGATGTAAGGAATCTAGGCGCTCCAAAATAACCGCTCCCACTTGATAGCGATCCGTAGGGTCACTCAGGCTACAAATTACCTACTCTACCCGCTTGTTAGCTATCAGTAGTGTCACCTGGGTGCTACACTATATCTGCCCCATGCTAGCGATCCGTAGGGTCACTGGGCACCAAAAGTTATCTGCTCCCACTTGCTAGCGATCCGTAGGGTCACTCAGGCTACAAATTATCTACCCTATCCGCTTGCTAGCTATCAGTAGTGTCACCTGGGTGCTACACAATATCTGCCCCATGCTAGCGATCCGTAGGGTCACTGGGCACCAAAAGTTATCTGCTCCCACTTGCTAGCGATCCGTAGAGTCACTCAGGCTACAAATTATCTACCCTATCCGCTTGCTAGCTATCAGTAGTGTCACCTGGGTGCTACACAATATCTGCCCCATGCTAGCGATCCGTAGGGTCACTGGACACCAAAAGTTGTCTGCTCCCACTTGCTAGCGATCCGTAGGGTCACTCAGGCTACAAATTATCTACCCTATCCGCTTGCTAGCTATCAGTAGTGTCACCTGGGTGCTACACAATATCTGCCCCATGCTAGCGATCCGTAGGGTCACTGGACACCAAAAGTTGTCTGCTCCCACTTGCTAGCGATCCGTAGGGTCACTCAGGCTACAAATTATCTACCCTATCCGCTTGCTAGCTATCAGTAGTGTCTCCTGGGTGCTACAGAATATCTGCCCCATGCTAGCGATCCGTAGGGTCACTGGACACCAAAAGTTGTCTGCTCCCACTTGCTAGCGATCCGTAGGGTCACTCAGGCTACAGATTATCTGCCCTACTTTCCTGCTAGCTAGATGTAAGGAATCTAGGCGCTCCAAAATAACCGCTCCCACTTGATAGCGATCCGTAGGGTCACTCAGGCTACAAATTATCTCCCCTATCCGCTTGCTAGCTATCAGTAGTGTCACCTGGGTGCTACACTATATCTGCCCCATGCTAGCGATCCGTACGGTCACTGGGCACCAAAAGTTATCTGCTCCCACTTGCTAGCGATCCGTAGGGTCACTCAGGCTACAAATTATCTACCCTATCCGCTTGCTAGCTATCAGTAGTGTCACCTGGGTGCTACACAATATCTGCCCCTTGATAGCGATCCGTAGGGTCACTCAGGCTACAAATTATCTCCCCTATCCGCTTGCTAGCTATCAGTAGTGTCACCTGAGTGCTACACTATATCTGCCCCATGCTAGCGATCCGTAGGGTCACTGGACACCAAAAGTTGTCTGCTCCCACTTGCTAGCGATCCGTAGGGTCACTCAGGCTACAGATTATCTGCCCTACTTTCCTGCTGGCTAGATGTAAGGAATCTAGGCGCTCCAAAATAACCGCTCCCACTTGCTAGCGATCCGTAGGGTCACTCAGGCTACAAATTATCTACTCTATCCGCTTGCTAGCTATGAATAGTGTCACCTGGGTGCTATACTATGTCTGCCCCACGCTAGCGATCCGTAGGGTCAATGGGCACCAAAAGTTATCTGCTCCCACTTGCTAGCAATCCGCAGGGTCACTCAGGCTACAAATTATCTACCCTATCCGCTTGCTAGCTATCAGTAGGGTCACCTGGGTGCTACACAATATCTGCCCCATGCTAACGATCCGTAGGGTCACTCAGGCTACAAATTATCTCCCCTATCCGCTTGCTAGCTATCGGTAGTATCACCTGGGTGCTACACAATATTCCATACTAGGGATAGTAGGGTCACTGGGCACCAAAAATTATATGCCCACACTGCTAGAGATCCGGAGGGTCACTGAGTGCTACAAAATATCGGCTTCCACTTGCTAGCGATCGGGTCACTCAGGCTACAAATTATCTGCCTACTCCCCTGCTAGCTATATGTAAAGAATCTAGGCTCTCCTAAATACCTAAAAAATATCTGCTCCCGCTTGCTAGCAATACGTAGGGACACTGGACACCACAAATTATCTGCCCTATCCGCTTGCTAGCTATCAGTAGTGTCACCTGAGTGCTACACTATATCTGCCCCATGCTAGCGATCCGTAGGGTCACTGGACACCAAAAGTTGTCTGCTCCCACTTGCTAGCGATCCGTAGGGTCACTCAGGCTACAGATTATCTGCCCTACTTTCCTGCTGGCTAGATGTAAGGAATCTAGGCGCTCCAAAATAACCGCTCCCACTTGCTAGCGATCCGTAGGGTCACTCAGGCTACAAATTATCTACTCTATCCGCTTGCTAGCTATGAATAGTGTCACCTGGGTGCTATACTATGTCTGCCCCACGCTAGCGATCCGTAGGGTCAATGGGCACCAAAAGTTATCTGCTCCCACTTGCTAGCAATCCGCAGGGTCACTCAGGCTACAAATTATCTACCCTATCCGCTTGCTAGCTATCAGTAGGGTCACCTGGGTGCTACACAATATCTGCCCCATGCTAACGATCCGTAGGGTCACTCAGGCTACAAATTATCTCCCCTATCCGCTTGCTAGCTATCGGTAGTATCACCTGGGTGCTACACAATATTCCATACTAGGGATCGTAGGGTCACTGGGCACCAAAAATTATATGCCCACACTGCTAGAGATCCGGAGGGTCACTGAGTGCTACAAAATATCGGCTTCCACTTGCTAGCGATCGGGTCACTCAGGCTACAAATTATCTGCCTACTCCCCTGCTAGCTATATGTAAAGAATCTAGGCTCTCCTAAATACCTAAAAAATATCTGCTCCCGCTTGCTAGCAATACGTAGGGACACTGGACACCACAAATTATCTGCCCTACCCACCTGCTAGCGACATGTAAGGAATTTGGGCACTACAAATTATTTGCTCTCATTTAATGGTGACTCTTAAGGAATCTAGGCACTACATATCATCTACTTTACCCACTTGCTAACGACCCTTAGGGTCACGGGCGCTACAAATTATCTGACCCCACTTGCTGGCGGCCCGTAGAGTTACACAAGCTACAAATTATCTGCCCTACCCACCTGCTAGCGACATGTAAGGAAACTGGGAACAACAAATTATTTGCCCTTCTCAGTGGCGATCTGTAGGGTCACCTAGGCGCTAGAACTTGCCATACTCACTTGCTAGCGACCCATAGGGTGGCTATCTGCAGAGAAAGCATGGTAACTGAAAAATTTTTCCATGATCTCGCATGATTGTGGCAGAGTTCCGAAATGGTAGGGCTTTCTGAATGATTTGTGAAGTTTATCGCTACTCGAGCAGTTCCCCTTTTCAGAATGTTTTTTAAAAATATATTTTCAGAAAAGAAGCAATGTGTGTGTAGCAACAATTGTAATCGCTAATAAACCTGATAGAGTGACAAAATCATAGGTCCACTTTAAAAAAATGCCATAACTCACTTTGTTCTCAATAAAATATTCCAAAATTTGGTACAGTCGTGTGTTTACCAGCTTAATATCAGTCATCAAACGGTCTCGTTTTCGTATGGTTATTCAAGAAAAAAGTCAAAATTTTTGAAAAAAAAGCAGGCTTGAAGGCTGGTCAAAATTACAAGTCCATCTGAAGTTTTTACTAATTGAAACACTTCTTAGCTTCCGAATTCTTAGGTGTTGCACATTCAAAAGCGTTGAACACTTGCCTTAGTCAAGCTGTGGCATACCTCCAAAAGACTGATTATCCCCTTTTTTGCCTTGGAAATGCTTTCACATGTATTTTGCTCTAGAAATCTGCGTTGAGCAAGAAATTCTGCAGTTTCTCAGCTGGATCGGAAGCGACGGGTTTCAGCTCCCTTCTAGATGCTTTTCGACGTGATCACTAAGGAAAAAATCTGACTTTTTGCTGCTGAATCAAATCCGACATCGACTTAATCGGGAGCTAAGCCTCAGTTTCTGCCCTAAAACCCTTTATGCGTTATCATTATAACCTCACAATATTGTAAAAGCATTTTCTACACAAAAGAAAAGTGTACGCCATACTCACAATTTATCACAAATCTCCCCTTCGTTTCTTTTTCGGAACTCGAGTTGTGCAGCGTAATGATGGTGTTACTCACTTTCAAAATAGCTTGCCAAGTGCTACCTCACTTAGATTTTTAACAGTGATTTATTTACTGGATAGCGGATACAGCTTGTATTGTACTTTAGCACAAGATTCTCCTGAAAAATTTGATCGAAGCCACAATTAGCTTTGGTGCTTCTCGCATCAGTTTCTGCAGGGTGATTTTAGTAAACTTGAGTGCTAGGATCTCTACAAAGTTGTAACCATGAAATACGGACTCTTCTTCGTAGAAACAATGCCTTTACTTTAGTTAATGCTTCTGAGGACATCTCAAATGAAGTTTGAAAGCAGAAATTTGAGCTCAGGATTGCAGTAATGTCGATGTCGGATTTGTGTCGGTAGTAAAAAGTCAGACTTTTTCCTCAATGCTCACGTCAAAAAGCATCCAGAAGGTGGACGAAACCTCGTCGCTTCCAATCCAGTTGAGAAACTGCAGAATTTCTTACTCAAAGCAGGTTTTTAGAGCGATGTGAAAGCATTTTCAGGGCAAAAAAAGCAGATAATCAGTCCTTTTTGGAGGTATGACACAACTTGACTAAAGCAAATGTCCAACACTTTTGAATGTGTACATACCTAAAAAAAGTTCGAAAGCTAAAAAGTGCTTTAATCCATAAAAACTCCAGGTGGACCTATTTCTGCTTTTTTCAAAATTTTTGATTTTTTCTTGAGTAACCATACGAAAACGAGACCCGTTTTGATGACTGATAGTAGGCTGGTAAATATGGACAACAGAGTGAGTTATGGCATTTTTTAGTGTGGACCTATAATTTTGTCCGGCGCTGTATTATAGTTGCTCCGACCCACTTGCTAGCGACCCGTAGGGTCGCTAGTATATTATAAGTCCTGCTATCAATCAAATTTCAACAAACTTTTCAATCCATCCCATATTGTTGAATGTATTCCTCCATCGGTCGACAATCATCGAAACAAAGAATCCAAGCATGAACGTCAATGGAATATGCACCAGATTCTTATCGCAATAAGTTGCGATCCTTTCAAAAGTTCTAAAAGAATCTACGTCTGCGGCTATAGCAGTCACTGAGTTACAACATACCTTTGTGCTCCTGTTGGAAGAGCATATCGATAAACACCGAAAATTATGTAGTAAAAAATAATCCACATTACTAACTCTAACATTATCGATTTCCAAATCGATCCTCGCCATCGCAGCAGAAGTCGAACAAAGGTAAAGCCAGAAGCAGATGAGACATCAGCATTGTAGGACACCGTCATCACCAGAAATTTGTTGAACTTTCGGATAAGGATTGAAAGAACAGTTCGATAATGAAGTGGTGATGGTTCAAGGGCACGGAGTTAATAACAAAGTGCATCTTCTGTTTTGGCATTGCATGGATCAATTCTATTTGATCAGGCTAGCAGGTAGTCTGTTCACTCTCCTAAATCTGTTTTTTCGTCAGTCAAGTGATGTTGCAAAAGCTGCTTGGTTTTGATTACCGGTCTTAACAAAAAATTTCGCCGTACTAAGTCCAGTTAAGAGTAAGCTCTATCTCTTTGCGTTCGACAGACATAATATGATCAACTATTTCTAATCAAATCGTCATGCAACGTGCGAGGCGCACGTTGTACTCTGAGAGAGTGTTGCAGGGCAGGATATGAAGGCATCTGTCCTCTACAAAACTTATGACAAAATACCTTTTTCATTCTTATCGACCCTGCCAGTTGAAAATGGTTACGATGAGGTCGCACCGTATCATACTCTCAATTATGTGTTAGTTTACAGGTTCACAAGGTTTCTCTACCTGTAATCGCGAATGAAATCTTTTTCCATGTAATACTGTTAGAACAGAGGTCTCAATAAAACTTTACCCGATAGGAAGAACAAGACATCCGGATTGTCTTTGGAACTTCAAAAGATGTGGCGCAAAGAACAGTTGATATATGAATTCTGACCAACGTATACTTTGCAAAGAAGAACGCAAGGAAAAAGAAAACAACCGAGAAATAGGTAGACAGTTTTTCCAAAGGATGCATTATCAAGAAGTCAGCTGATTACTTCTGCACAACTTAAGCGAAAAAAAAATTAAGGCCAATACCAGAAGACCCAATGGCGCAAGCAAGAAAAAGAAAAAAAAATGGTACCTTTGCAGTTGCATTTACATTACTCGAAGATTGGTTGTTTGAGCACCTAATCAGATATTTCAAGTTTTGCCCGTTATCATACCTCTCTGGATTGATATATTAAAGAAAAAAGCGAAGGCATTAATGTTATTACCTGAGTAATTGTAGTAGTATTTCTATTTATTCGCACTAAATTGTCACAAAATGCTCTTTGAGATGAAACTCTCTAATAATAAAAGTGTTGAGAAATTTTAACGTAAAGCTAATGTGTTATTGTGATCCTTATAGACAGCATAAAAGTCATTAGCGCAATGCCATAATATAACTTTGGCCAAAGCAAGACTAAGCCTGCGTTCAGCATTAGAATGATAAAAATTCTCAGTTCAGTGCGGATATCATAATAGGTTGAACCAAAAGTGATGTTGCCTTGCTTTGAAAATTCGTGACTGCCCCCTTGTGAGCGTATCTGCTTACAAAAAATAGGGTGTGAGAAAACACTTATTCACTTTTTAGCACTAGCTACTAGCTCCGCTGTTCTTCGACGACAAGGAACTCCAAAAATAAAAATTCGAATAGGAGAGCCTTCAACTCTGGATTCTGAAAAATTCTTCAAAAATCTGAAACATTGCATAAAAATTTGGTTACATGTCTTTTACCGTTTACGCGAGCTGCTCTTTCTAAAGCTCTTTTTAGCGCTTTGAGTTCGCATGCCAAAACCACTTTAACTATTAGCCAACCTTCCGGCCAACTTGCTCAAACTAGCTAGCGCTATAGAATAGTGCAATGATTTTTACACAAGACCTAATTGTAATTAATCTTCAGAGTGAATAAGACTTAAAGATAAAAGAACATCTTTGATCAAAAACAAAGCCCCTGTATACTTTTGTAAGACTTTTTTCACACGAAAACTTTGTATTCGTGGTGCGTTGTCGTGGCCAAGCCTATATCAGATTGCCCCGACAGTTCTTTTATTTTCCAACCAGCCACCAATTTTCATAAAGCAGACAGAATAGACGAAATTATAGCCGATCGTGAGTCTTCTATTGGTCCATCCAGCATACGCGATTACCGCCATACTTATTTGTGTTGTTCTATGAGTGTGCCAGAAACTTTCATTAAAAAGTTTTTTTTTTCAAGCCTTGGACGACGCGGTAAAGGGCTTCATTTTTAGTCGGATTTTCCTAGTTCAACTTCAAAGATTTCAGTAATAGCGCGGGAGCATATCAAAACCGGGGTCAAAAGTGACTCAACGAGATTGGTCCAGATTGCGATACAAACTTCACTAATTGCAAAAAATGCCTCGGAAATCAAGATTGAATTATTTGACATTCAAAAGTTACCTTGTTGATACAATTATCAGAATAATTAGAGGGATTGTGAGCTCGATAGATTGTTGAGCCGTACGCGGACCATCATTTCATTTCATTTCGCAAGGTTTTGATGAGAAAACCATAAACATCATAAAGAGAAGAGCAAACTGCATCAAAACAACTTACAAAGGACTACAAAGGACTTGCGGAAATGGCAGTGGCCTTTTGATATGAAATAGGTATCAGCTGAATCAATTGAAACGCTTATTCCAAAGTAGCCTTTCTTAACTGCAGAACACACCTGGTCAGGAGTTCGTGAATCTTATCTGGAAATTTACAACGCTGATAGTAGCCAAAACTGTTGAAGCCCATGTATTATGGGTACATAGATGTGATAGTTAACCAATGCTTAGTGTAATTCTACTTCTTCCTCAGTGTTGTGCTGTAGTGCTCCCTAAATCGAACAATTTTTTAATCACAGGGTACTTTAAATAATGTAAATTCGGTGATTAAAATGCTCATAAGTCTCGTCTTAGACATGCAATGCATTTCTAAGGCTGGGTTCATACTGATCCGAAAGTTCCGGAACAGTTCCTGCACAGTTCTCAAACTGGGTTGGAATTGCGCCGGGACTAGTGGAAAGCCGCCGGAACCGCCGCTGCATGCGCTGTGAAGCAGCCCGCACGGTGGGAGTTAGACTTTTTGACCGTTTTCGGGACGGTTCTCTCCAACTTTACTTACTTCGTTATGTTCTTCTACCTTGCTTTCCCTTGTGATGAGAAGAGCCTCGTGAAGCGTGTGATTGGAGAGCGCCGTTCTGCTTCCAGGTATCCGAGAAACTGTGTATCCATTTTCTCTTCGTTTTTTTGTTCAGGCTTACTTCATGTCCAGGAAGACTCTGCATAGTTTTCGCAGTCATCTGTCTTGAGCTAGGACATGCAAACAAATCTTAGAATACAGAAAATTAATGCAAAAAATTATGACTTTCCTCTACTGTTGTGATACGTTTCATTTTTGGGTATTCTCAACCCCTTTCCTTTTTCCATATCATTGTTTATCCTTTCGTTCTTCTACTTCGTTTCTGCTTATGATCAGAAAAGCTGCAGTTTGAACCGGGATATAACAATGCACGCTGTTCTGCTCCATGTGTCCGAGAAAATAGGTCTTTGTGCGTTCGTCCATCCTCTCTTCGTTGTTTTGTTCAGACCTAATTCATAAGCACTAGAAAGCTGTCTGCCTCTTTTAATACATATGGGGTACTAAGCAGCGGCTTCTTGGAACATGAAGTAAGTCTGAATAAAAATGAAAGAGAGAATGGACGGGAGCACGAATACACATTTTCCAAGATACATGGAAGCAGAACGGCGCTCATTCTCCAATCGCGCTTCAAGATCGCGGCTCTTCTCCTCACAAGGGGAAGCAGAGTAGAAGAGTCAGAAATAGGAAGATTGTCAGAGTGCCTCATTCAGATTCAATTACCTATCTCATAATTCATATTATTCAAAAAGCAAAGCGCACACAGAACATTCAAAGTTTCACAAAATCTTTTTCTTCTTCTTCATCATCTTCCGGTGCGATGCTTTCCTCCGCCACGATGCTCAGTGCTCTTACATCAGCTGTAAAAAGAAATTTCTAGAACTGCCTTTTCTTTTCTAAACTACTACAGTAAGACTATCATAACCTACGCCTTTGAAAGTTTAGCGTTATCGGCCTTCGCAGAGGAGAGTCTGGAGGAACTGGTGTGACGGGACTATCCTTGAGCGGTTTGATTGAATGTGTGCGGTGTCTAAATGATTCAGTGGTCTTCGCAAACTGGTTCATTTTTTAGATCGCGCGCCATTTCAAAAGATCAAAGCTTCTTCGCCTTGGCATTGTAATGGGATAAAACTATAAGAGAATCACTGCAAGCTAAACTATTATCTAAAATGATAAATGTTGTACAAAAATCATTTTTTAACAAAAACCACTCAGAATTGATGCTTAGATTTTGCTGAACATAATTAAACCAAAAGTAGTTAGTATGTTTTCCAATCTTACTCAGCAAGCTCACGATAGAACTCATGATTTCGAAAATTAATTGGAGGCACTAGAAGAACTTTAGTCAACATAAGAATGTCATATGTGCTTGGACTACAGAACCCACCGGTTCATACATGTGAACGAAAGAAGACTTCGATCCGTAAGGCCCCGGACAGACTTCACGCGATTTGATCGTCGCGACTGAATCGCGACGAGACAACTGTTACAACATCATTCCATGCCGATCAACTTGCATTCATCTGCGATACTTTTCCAGCCGAAATTTTTGAATGTGAAATGAAAATGAATGGAAATCTTGGCGATTGAATCGCGACGATCAAATCGCGTGAAGTCTGTCCGGGGCCTAAGAGCGGAAGTTAAAAATGGGTCTTGTCACAAATGTGGCAGCAAGAAATTAGGTGACTTTTAGCACAGCACTATAGGCCTTTTGCATCTTGAGCATACAAGTGACCATCGCCTACTTCCAGGGTCAAGCAAGGGGTGTGGCACACGATCGCTGGTTACGATCCCCACCCCTGATTGCTGTCCTAATAAGACCCCCCCCCCCTGAACTATATACCTAAGATAGCATTACCAGAGTTGAGAAAGAGGTCAGGCACAAGTCTTTCGAACCCCCCCCCCCTCCCATGAAAGCCCTCAAACGACCCGTTCTTCCTCCTCTTAACCTCTGGACCTCAAAGAGTGACATTTTGGAGGACATCATCTTTTTTTAGAGAGTTTTCAGATTTCTGAGAGCTGTACTCCCGATTTTCTGTGACTGCACTTTACAATCACAGTAATTTGACGGCTGATTTTGATCTGAATGGGCATATTGAAAGGGCCATAATTTTCTTATGGGTGGGGCGTTCGGCTCC